AATATGTTTGAAAATAATCCGCAAATAAGCATACGAAATGTTTCAGAAAATATGGATATACCTCGATCAATAGTAAGGACAATTATTAATCCCTATTTGATAGTTATTCTAAAAATAATAATTTTAGATAGGAAGAATGACAAGAATGCAAGGATTACATCCTTATCATTTTAAACGGGTGCAGCATTTAACGGAGGCAGATTTTTTACCACGAATCGAGTTTTGCCAGTGAATATTAGCAAATGAAAACATTATGCCTAGAATATTATAGTCGGATGAGTCAATATTTACTAGGAATGGTGCTTTTAATTTCCATAACATGCATCACTGGTCAGATGAAAATCCAAAAGTTGTTCGCCGTACAAATTTCCAACATAGATTTTCATTATGGGCAGGAGTAATTGGGGATCAAATAATTGGGCCTTTTGTACTTCCCAATCGTCTTAATTCCGAGGTGTATCTGAACTTTCTTCAGATTGAGCTCATTGATATAATACCATTGGATGTGCGCCAGCAGTTTCAAGAAAATATGTTTTTTCAACATGATGGCGCCCCTGCACATTTTGGACGCAATTGTCGAAATTGGTTGAATGTCAATTTTCCAGACAGGTGGTTAGGCCGAGGAGGTGCTATAGCGTGGCCGCGACGTTCACCTAACTTAAATCCATTAGACTTTTATTTTTGGGGGTCATTAAAAGACCTAGTTTACTCGACTGAAGTAAATACTCAAGAAGATTTAGTTCAAAGAATCCATCAGACTGCAAATGAAATAAGAAGAAAAAGGTTTTCCACTTTTCGGGATACGCAATCATTAGTTCGTCGAGCGAGACTCTGTATCCAATAAAATGGGAATTTATTTGAACACTTATTGTAAAGCTAGTTTTAAGTATATCCAACTGTATGTCTTCCTTTTTAAACAAATTTCAATTTCGTTCGTAGGAAAAATTTATTTCTTTTGTTTTTGCCTAAATATTAGCTATGTTGCAATAAAATCTCAAGTTTTGTTCCGATACTTAACCTGTTCAGTCTCCGTTTCGGAGGCATTTTAACGCAATTATTGTAAACAACCGATTGCGTAATCACACCGTACGTGTTTTCTCACAAATTTCGAGCTAGGGAGGTTTATAAGTTATCGAGTTCCAGAAACATTCGAGTTAGAGAAATTTGAGTTAAAGAGGTTAAAATGTATACAAACTTAGTAAAGGTGTCCGGAATTTAAAAGTTTGGGTTACGGAAACTTCGAGTCAGAGGTGTTCGAGTTAGAGGAGTCCCTCTGTATTAAATTCTATGTCGGCCAATAAAAAAAATTAGTGTATATATTTACACCGTGACTCAAATTCGCTATGATTGTTGTGATCTTAGCAACCTGAAACGGGATAAGGGGTCGATTGGATTCGAGCAAAGTTCGGCAGTATTATGAACCAGAAAAACGACAACAGGGTAACAGCACCGTTCACGAAGACCATAATAATAAAAATTATGTCAATTTGATTCGCTAAAAATGTATAATTGAGTATGTCCACCAATAGTATGTGTAGACTAAACTCCACGTAGAATCGTAGAATTTTGTATACTGGCACATGCTTAATTGAAATACTTCGAAAAGTTACTTGCCATTTCGAATTTCCTTAAGCCCATATACAGATCATCTTTCTAACTAAGAGACTTGCTGTTTAAGCATTTCTAGAAAATACCAAGTATTTTCAGTTTTTGGGCTCATATAAGTCCTATCACACCCTTTCCTAAAATAACCCATCTCGTTTTGCATAAAGTTTGAAGATACGCTATTGGCACTAAACACTGGTAAAGGTTGCCTATTTCGTTACAAGATTAATTACACGGCGCACGTTGCAAAGTTGTTATACTCATTCTACTCGTAGTAATCAAAGCAACCGAAAACAATAAATGATTACTTTGTAGAAGAGTAACGATTAGTAAAGAATTCTCGAAAGTAACGAGAATCAACAACAGTGATAGTTACCTGCCCAACCTGCAACGCTCCACTATCGGTGGAACATGTGCGTGTGCAGTGTTCAATGTACCACAACTAAATAATATAGTGCAAAGTGGACCCCAACCTGTCAAAGTGTTTGAGCTCAGGTTACGGCACCATACTGGGATACTTTAGAAATATGATTTTACATGAACTTAGATATACTTTTTGTATCGTATGCCGCCAAAAGCCCCACGTAGTTGATGAGGTATTCTTTCAAATGAAAAAGTTATGACGAAGAGTGAAAGCAGGATTCACTTCTTAGCTAGAATGAAACAGGAATAAAAAAATAAAAGGATACTACTGTTCTAGATCTTCGTGTTTCATTATTTCAAAATTAAATAATGAAAAATGTGTGTACGCTTTGTAAGGTTTCATTTTGAAGTATGGTTAGTAAAGCAAATCTCTCATTTTACTTCTTATGAATGTAACTTCTTGTTGCACAAAAATATTGTATATGTTTAGAAAATATTGGTTACTTTTTTATGACGTTTTATTGCTGGTATATTGGAATCTATATGTACTACGTCTGTAACTCATTGAAATGTATAATAACACTTGGAATTCGGTTCCAGAACCGAAATTATTGCAATCACGTAATTTCATGTAAATGAACGGAAAATCGTAGCTAGTCAAAGCTAATTTCGAAAAGCTCTCTCCGAACTGTTATCAGCAAAAATTGGATTACGAGTATATCCTGATATTTACATATTGCTCGATTTTACTTTCAAGCTAGGTGAATATTAAGGTATTCAATTTTTTGCATAGCATCTGAAAAATGACATACACCAAGTTATTGCACTGACTAAGTCTGTTCAAGTACTGAGTCTACTGAGACTCTACTGACTTTGCTAAATTCCACTGATTGTAATCTTTAGGTATATAGATTTTCAGTTGCTATTGGCACTATTGAAACTATTACCAACGTTCCTCGAAAAATCATATCAGTAGTAAACAATAGTGGCTAATGATGCCCCTATACGATTAATTGGCAATTAAGATGTTTCCCGATAATATTTATATGCAACACAGAGTGATGAAAGAATTAAAATACAATCAGTATAAAACATTTTTATAATTAAGCGCTACTATTTTAATGAAACTGAAAAAACCGGATGCTTCTTCTCACCTTGACATTTGAAGTGACTACAGATTTAAGCTGAGGTAGGTCGTGAACTTTAATACCAAGAACTTATCGCCAATAGCTACAGCTTTGTGGATCTGTTAAGCGTTTCTTATTGAAACTGTAGTTCGATCAAGACTCCAGATAAGCGGTTGTAAAGGAATAAATCGAAAGTCTTACTCAAAACGACATTTGATCAATATTTCGACTAATGTGCAAACTTTTGGATGAACGAACCCATTCATTTTGCGAATGCCAAGAAATGCTGACTTGGCTTTTCTTAAAGTACCTCTAGACAGTTGTTGTAATAACCACAAAGTGATTAACTTCACTTGTAATTATTTTTTTACATCGAGGTAATTCCAGACGTAATCAAAACAAATATGTTCAAGCGAAATAGACAATTGAAACATTAGACGATAACCTATCGATACTGGGAGCTGGAAATAGATCTTTTGAATCATCATTTTCGGCTACAATGTTTCGAATATTATCCAAGATGGAAAAGTAATAGAATCACGTTCCATCTACAAGTCATAACAGTTGTGGTTGTCGCCAAGAGCTGAGCAGAAAACGTTGGGAGTAGTAACTACTTAAATAGCCCTAACTGCTAGGCTTTTTAGTCATACTTGATTCCTAGTGGGATTCCTTCAGCCTAGTATGAGACTGTATTAAAATATTTGAATACACAACTACCCTGAAGCCATTGAAAAACAGGAAACAAAACATGGACGCACTCATCCATGAAATACATTTAGGAGCACTACTGTTTTATGGACTCGAGAACGCTTTTACAGCGACTCTCAGGCAGAACAGCGTGACAGCGGTGCCTAGTCGGCCTTTTCTGCCCGAAGTGTGAGATTCTCCAGAATGAGGCGTACTCACTACAGACCCTCAGTCGTTTGCTCCATAACCCATCATAGTATTGCTTGTAGAATTTCATCACCAAGGACCAACTGTGGAGTAACAAAAAAAAAGAGTGCACAAGTAAATTGTGAGAAACATAATAGGTTCATCAACATAATATGGCAGAAAATTGAGGCCTGTAGCTGTTCAAGGGGCGGAAAAAAATTTTGATTCAGCACCAACAAAAAGTAGCATGGAAAATACACGACAATGATTTGAAAAATAAAAAAATTCAACCACACAACAATCAGGAACTTATTTGCCTAACCGTACCTTTATTTTATTCATTTTTTAATGATTTTTGAATTGCCGATTTTCTTCCGGAAATACAGAACAAACACAAGAAATCACTTCATTAGCCAAAATCACATGTGAATCTTTCCTAGGAACCCAGTGCATCTAAAGCTTCATGCCGAAATTGTGGAATTTTGGAGCAAGAGGGCTGGACATGGTGATTTTGAATATTGCTATAAGTAGGTACGGAAGTCAGTGTCATTTACGAACAGGGACGCTTGAAATTCAAAGGGAATGGTTTTTGGTTTAATTGTAAGATTAAATCCCCCAGAGAAGCTACTTTAAATAAAGACGATTTTCGGTTTTTGGTGTTGAAAAATAAAGCTTAGAGTAACCTAGGATAAAAAAGACCATTCTTATTACCTATTAGTTTCCCAAACCCAAAGCGAAATGACAAGTCTGTAAGTTCCAGAATTAAGAGATAAAGCTGCTAGTATTTGTTAAACAAAATATAGGTTTGCCCATGCACAACCAAACATTTTGGATTCAACGGGCTTTACATGGTATTTAAAAAATTGATGTTCATTGGCTTATAAGGCATGTTTATCTAATATTGATTATGTCAAAGTCACGTATTATGTTTTTCTGTCTTATGTTTGTTATACATTTATTCTTTGTTTGCCACGCCAGCTAATTGTACTGAGCATAATAAACGTTATTATAATAGTTGAGAAAAATACTCACAACGAAAAAAGAACACTGAACTATCACTAATCAAAATCTTAGCCCGTCTTGTTGTATAGCTAATGTGGATATGCGTGAAGTTGAGAGGTCAAGAGCGGACTGAAACTGCGAGATGGCATCATAATTTTGTTCTTTTCCCATCACCGCGCTCAGATTCGCTCCAGGCGAACCACTTCTCCTCGGTCTTTGTATCAATGAAAGCGAGGTACGATCTCATAGACTTTAATGATGATATGTTTTATGTAAGCGCAAATAATTAAATTTAGTTTTTTAGTTATAATTGTCACATTTCTTGGTTTGTTGATCTATCTGTCTACAGATTTCAGGATATGCACAGGAGTACTCCAGCTTGCAAAAACAAGTTAAAATACTGGTTTACAGAATCGAGTGACACTTCTTTGGGAAAATGTTTAAGGAACAGTCAAAGAAAATAATTTGCCCATGCTAGAAATATTCAGCAAATTTCTAGAAAGTAACAAACAGGCGAATCAAAAGCTGTAAATACTGCTATAGCCTATCAATGATTTACAATCAGACCATGCGAGGTGGCATTTATATAGAAGAAATGCACATGTTCTCTAAAGGAAAACAAATGGGCATCGAACTAGAGAGAGATACTCGTATTTGATTATTAGTAGAAAATCTAAACGTGTGGCATCCAGGTATGGGGCACACCGGGTAACAACATTTCTCAGCCATTAAAGAAGGACGTGCAGGGAATTATCCTCGGCGTACCACACTACGTTCACCTCACAATCGTCAAAAAAGTGATCTACAAGTTCAGCGTTAGTTACAGTAAAGGGGTTTAAACACTCCCTAATGCGTTAACAAACGAACGATATGTATCTAATAATGAACTAATGAGTATGTTAAAGTGCCATTTACCATCTATTTGGTGATAGAACCTCAATAATCTTAAGTCGTAACGAAAACAATTAATTTAGTATTAGATAGAAACCACTCACTCGAATGATGTCTTCATGTCTTTTTTAGCTTAGACTACGAGGGATGTCTTTTAAGTTTTGCATATAGAAACATAGTAGGTCTCGCCCATCGAACGTCAGTACTGAATCTGAACCTCACTCTTTAGTAAACTTAAATTCAAAGTTTCACAACAATACGTGTAGTGTTCTCGCTACAGTGAATTTTTAAGTGTCACCAAGTCATTAGAAACATGGAACTCAACCGAGAAAATTTTCGCGCCATAATTTATTACAACTTTCAGAGACAATTATCGCAACAAGAATGCCTTGCTGAGTTACTGTCTGTTTTCGGCAACAAAGCGCCACATCGGTCGACAATTTCCCGCTGGTATGGAGAACTCAAACGTAGACAGGAGAGTCTTAGCGCCGATCCCAGGGTGGGTGCACCAAAAACGGCAGTCATCCAGGAAAACGCCGATGCTGTGCGCAAACTCATGGTTGAAGATAGACAAGTGACATATCGCGAGATTGAGGCGTCCTTGAAGATCTCGAAGACCACAATTCAAAAAATTTTACATGAAGAATTAGGAGTAAGAAAACTGGTTTCTCGTTGGATACCCCACCTGCTGACTGAAGAGCAGAAAGCAGCCAGGGTTAATTGGTGTCAAAAAACGCTTTACCGTTTCAGTTGCGGAAACTCAAAAAATGTGTACAGAATTGGTAGTGGTGATGAATCGTGGATTTACTGCTATGAATCAGAAAATAAACGACAGTCGGCTGTTTGAGTGTTCCAAGGTGAAGAAAAGCCAACAAAAGTCATCCGTTCTCGAAATGTTTCGAAAAAGATGGTCGCGATATTTGTGTCAAAAGCGGATCATATTGCAACAATTCCTCTTAATGAGCAAAGAACTGTTACTGCGGATTGGTATACCACCATTTTTTGCCAAAAGTCATCACCGAGCTTCGAAAAATCAACCCCGAGAGAAGAATCATCCTCCACCAAGACAATGCAAGCTCGCACACAGCCCAAAAAACAAGGCAGTATTTAACGGAAGAAAACGTGGAATTATTGGACCATCCTCCATATAGTCCCGATCTAAGTCCTAATGACGTGGTCGAAGGTTCCAGTCACCAGAAGCAGTTGACGCATTCAAAAATGCCGTTTTGGATCTGCCAGCAAACGAGTGGAATAAGTGCTTCGAAAATTGGTTCGAGCGCATGCAGATGTGGATTAATCTTCTTGGAGAATACTTCGAAAAACAATAAAGTCATTTAAAACTACCTACCGTGTTGTTTTATTTCCATATGCAAAACTTAATGCCGTAATGCCTAAAAACATGCTTATTGTCCATTTCCAGCTTCAAGAAAACAGATGTCAGATAATCCGCAGTATTTCAAAAAATGGCGGGAGGTGGAGAACACAAAATTATTGCCCTAATGTGGGGTAACTAATGCTCTTTTGGATGCTAATTTATCTTTTATCATAGTAGGAGGAATTCATAACGGTACATATAGTCATAAAGGGTCAAGCTTGCAACAATTTATAGTTTTTGTATTAAAGCCGCGCCATATCAAAATTTTTGGGATATTTGTACCCAACTGTCACTGCAGGCTATTTTGACTTGTGCCAACAGATTGCACATCTTATAAAATTAAAAACTTAAACTAGCTTCAACTTACAAGGTTACAAAGGCTCAAATCAGTCCTGTAATTCAACTTACAATAATTGGCGAAAATGATTTGTATCCTAAACACTTTTTTGAATAGGTGCCAATAATTTGTAGCAAATTTTGCTTAAAAACTGGTAGATATAACCCGAGCATCTAATAGGGTGCGATCGAAGTGAATTTTTGGCCAAATGCGAATGTTTGGAAAATCAAAAGTTGCGGGTTGTATTATAACAGTGGAATGTTAGAATAACCAACGTCTGCCCTTGCTCTTGGTTTTGTTTCTTATAAGTTGTAAGGCGGGTTTCAATAAAATAATGAATCAACACTTGTTGAAATTAGCTAAAACGTGATAATTGTATGAGTATGAATGCCTAAAATGTAGGTCAAATTGGACCAACAGTTCACATTAACGAGTATAAGAGTACATTAGATAGCATCAACCAGGAAATCTTAGAATTCGAATCACTTCCGGAATTAAAAAAACGTTCCTGAACTTACGATTTCGGGGCTAGAGAATTAACTGAGTTTCAACCGTTCATATTAATAATTTGGATGTCGCCTTGCCCTCACACATATAATCCGCTGGGATGACCTGATTCTGATTTCTATATCGATGTTGTCCTGACAGTTGCGAATTATCGTAGTGGATCATCTATATGACTTCAAGGCGACAACATTAATTTCATTGATTGAAATTCAATTGGCAAATTGTAAAATAAACCATTTACTATAAAAGAAACCTCTTTTTTCAGAATTATACCTTGCAATAACATCATCAGATTTTCAGCGATTGAAAATGAAAGAGCCGGGTGGCGGCTGCATCTTTCAGGACTTAAGCATCGCTTCTGCCTTGTGAAAATCTAAAAGTGGGGTGTGGAATAGGGTATATACCACTATCTTGAAAAACTGCAGACTTGGACGTCTAAATCTGCCTTTGCCTGTATCTCGAAAATTGGATCAACAAATCGCCCTCTTGAATATTGACATTCAATATAGGAAACACCCTGTATACACTGGTTAGGATCTAAAATATATTTTAGACTACCTAATCAGTGATAACAAAAAAAAATAGGCTAACAGTTCCTAAATTCGCTGTCCAAGAGTATGTGGCAATTTCACATAGTCTGGAAATTTGTCATGAATACAGATTTTTCGAAATCTTTGGGTTACAAAATTACAGCGGACTGATTGCATTTGCTACTCTTACACTTAACCAACCAGTCCGCAACATGTTTTAAGTGGTACATAAGCAATACAAGCACTTCTAAAATAGAAAAATCACCAACCAATGCTTATTAAAGAAGATATAAAGCTGCAATGATATTTGTGAAAATATGCAGCACTCATGATCAAACGGTTGATGAAATTAACAAAAGTTACACTTTTTTACCGAACATGGAACGCGATCTTTTATACGCCTCAGGAATTCCATTATATTTTATGGCAACATTATAAATATGTAAAACTACGTATGGCCAGGGTTAAACGACATTGTACTATATTAATATTTTAATTTGTTAGACATTTGCCATGTATATCCTTAATAAGGGATTTTCTACTCTAAGCTAATGAGGCTTCGATGTCCTACTAAATGTAGGCGAAGCTATATTTTTGGCCGAAGGCGATGAAAAAGCTTCTCTCTATCTCACTGGCAGAGGTCGGCTTGGCACTCTGAACTCCTACATGTAGAGTGTCATCGGCAAAGCTGCGAATCATCCCCGTTGTCATTGAGGAATGAAAAGAAGAACCCGTAAATTACGATTGACATCTTTCGATCAGAGAGGAAGTCAGCCACCCATTTGCAAAGCTTCTCTGGGACGCCTTGAATAGAAATTTGCATAAGAAGGGCAGTATGCCGCAGCTGATCCATAGCTTTCGTGATATCAAGAGCAACGACACAAGCCTCACCAGACTGGACGAGTTTACTCCACAATTGCGTGACGTAAGCTAGGAGGTCCTCTGTCGGAAGCCATACTGCCTGGCGCTAATCAAGCCTAGACGTTCGACGTACTCCAGAAGCTGACAATTTATGCACCTCTCCATCACGTTACTTATAACAGAAGGCAGAGGTGTAAGTGTGCAGTTGTAAGAGTCGGTTTGAGATCCCTTTTTGGGGATGGGTTAGACATAAGCCAATTTTTCTGGACAGGTGCCGGATTAGGCAAGGCTCGTCACCAGTTGGGTCAGGCCTTGGGTAATAGCGAACGGCACGACCCGCTGCATCGATCTTGTTTGAGCCCAACCAGAGCTCATTATGGGCATTGAAATCACATATATAGTCATCGTGTGCTTGGTCGTGGTGGAAAATGGCTTCTTATCGATCCGGTGGAGCATCAAGAAATTTTTTAAACTAAAAAGTATCCAGATGTTTTCTGAATTATCTCCTTCCGCTACAACAGATACAGATAATGCAATCTTCAATGTCATGTTTTTTTAAGGATCATACCTATAATTATTACACCATTGTTGGGCCGAATCACATCTCTGGAGTCTTGTGAACATGCAAACCACAGGATAAGTTTCAGGAGGTACATTATCTGAAAGCTTATTTTTGATACAGCTGATTTCTTGACGAAACATCGAAAA